AAACTAAAATAAAGAGGGAGACATATGCAGAGCCAACCCTTGGGTCAAGCAGGTCATGATCTTGTTTTGGCTTTTTCTATAGAAAACTTAGTCTAGTCACAAGTGGTTAAATTATGGTGGCTACCTCATCATTATTTTATGGGGTTGCGACTTATGTGAGGCCAAACATGTTTTAAAAAAAAAACACAAAATACTAAAATATCTCTATACTATTAAAAGAGAAGTACAAATGAAAATGGGTCGGGTTAAAATCAGAAAATTGACCCGAAATTCTGAAATCGGATCTTTGAAATTTTTTTGGAATATAAATTCGAATTAATAATGAAAAATCAAAATAAAATCAAATATTTATGGAAATCAAATAAAATCTTATTGTACTTATGGTAACTAATAATAAAAGCATATTCCAAACAATATTATACATTAATTACGTACAATAAATTTGTTCATATATTTTTGGGTCTAATTCCATAACAATTAAAAACTAATTTAATAAATGAAATTATACTATTTATAAATATAATGATATATAAAAAAATTCTCTAATTTTTTTGTTTTATTTATTTTAGTCTTACAGCAAAATGGAAAGGTCTTACAGCAAGAGTGTACATTATACTTCATCTTTCAATCTCTCATCTAGATACATATTCTATTATTACTATATGTCCAAACTTCATTTTGTTGTATGACTAAATAATATTCCCATTAGAACTGTCAAAGCGAGTTGATTCGTCCCGTTAAGTCCGTTTTGCGATAGACAACAAATATTTTGACTTGTAGTTAGTCGGTCCGCACGACCCGCGGGTAGCATATATGAAATACAAACCCGTCCCGCGAGTCGTGCGGGATTATATATAAAATTATTTAAACAAAATCCATGGACAATCCCGCAAATCCGCATACATTTGCGGGATTGTCCATGGATTTTGTTTAAATAATTTTAAAGTAACCAAAATTTAAAATACTACTAAAATAAATAAATAAATCAAAATACTATTAAAAGTTTGTTTAAATTACCACATGTTGAATAAATTATAATTTTATCAATAAATACTAATATGCGGGCTGATCCGCCAACCCGCGGATGAAAACCGATTAAACCTATGACCCACTGCAAATTAATCCATGTGGCCCGCTTATTTGCGGGTTTAATATATTTTCCCAAATCTGCCCCATAGTGAGATGATGTGGGCTGGACCCGCGGTTTTGACCTATTTTGACTGCTCTAATTCCCATGAATCGTCTAATTTTAGAATTTTAAAACACAAAATTCTATTTTGTAAATCATAATTATTACGATGGGTATATTTATAAACAATTTTACATTTTCTCTACAATTCGTTATTATGAATATTTATAAGTATACTACACGATTCGTTCTACTAAAAAACACGCACAATATTGAACGCAACATATGTAAACCAATATTCTCCCGCGGTGGACCGCGGGTCCGATCCTAGTTAAAAAATTATTTGGCCCAATTTTTGTCCACTTGTAGCCTTGTAAAACTCATGGCCGGTTCTGGACTGATGCATGATATCTTGTGAGTTAGGTGCTAATTCGACCCATAGACTTAAAAGAAGTTAGGAGCAAGCCAATGGTGCGAGTTTATGTGGAGTTTTATGAGCTTGACAAAATCAAAGATTCAAAGATATTCGGCTTTATGTTTGAAGAATTAAAACTTAGAGAAGATTTGAAAATATATGAGATTGGATTCACAATCGCAAAGAGAGGATGTTTGAAAGATTGCAGAGTTAAGTAACTACTATCAGGTGTAACTTGTGTAAATTTAACTTGAAAGTTTTCCAGTAAATAAAGCATTTGGCTGATAATGTGATGAACTTTGACTGTTGACTCTGAGTAAATGAAACGAATGGACCGAAATATGATTAAGACTGAAATAAGTGAAATATAATCCAAAAATAGAATGCTCAATACTGTAACACTTCAAAGATCTTACACATAGTACGACCTCTATGAGGAAGAAAACATATTCCACAAAACAGATAGATCCTTCCTTCAACTCAACATGTCAAATGAAAACATATCTAAGAGGTCATAATATTTCGATCATAGAAAATAAGGGGGCTCGAAGGACTTCTCATAGACAACACAAAATAAGAACGTTAGCAAAGATCATAATATGAATCTATTATTCATATCTATCGCCAACATGTTTATATATGTATATGTAAAGATATAGGTATTAGGTGCCTCGGGCTAGCATTTCTTGATACCTCTTGAAGGACAAGAGTTTCTGAAGCTTCATCTGCTTATGAAACCTTGAAATAAAGATATCTGCGACATGGTCGATCTCATCTTCTAGCTTGAAATTCTCTCCTTCTTCTTTCGAGTTCCTCACCATTTCTATCACAGAACTACCTTGACCTTCCTCCTCCAAGTCTCCAAACTCCTCCTCTCCTTCGAACAACGTGTGCCTCAGATCTGGATACTTGTCGCTGTCGTCCTCGTGAACATCGTATTCCTCATGATGAGCCATTGTGTATGCCTTGCTGTTGTAGAGAACTATAGCCTTGTTCTTGTCTTGGTCATGGTCGTTGTCGTCGTCGTCTTGATCTGCATGGCCCAAGAGGTGGTGAATCTTGTTGGAAATCGAACGAAACCCGAGTTTCTTGTGTTTCACTAGAGACAACATGAGTACTCGTGTCTTGAAAGCACTTGTTTTGTTCTTTATGGCTATAGATTTAGCCTTCGCCATAGAACTCAACAACGCAACGATATGTTTCATCAATGCCGTAGCTTTCTTCATATTTTTTCAATAATTGTGTTTTCTCTTATGTTTTGGATGTTGCTTAATTAGCATGAAAGGAACATTGGAGGTGAGAGCCCTTAGGGGATCTTATATGAACATGGAAAGGTACGGTCACAAGTCATGGCTTTATGAGTCTTGTCGTATATTTCTTAAATTAACGGCTATATGGTTTACTTAATGGCGCAGCAATCTTCTCACAGTTTGCCACGTGGACATAAGCCATTTGACGTAGTGGATCACTTGCTTTTTCTGGTTTAAACTTTATGCACGTTCTCTTTTATCAAATTGAATCGTGCCTACATTTTACGAACGTAAGCATTTGATATTTCTATTACTTCTTTTTATGATATAGGTTCTCAATAAATTAATTTTATGTTGATTTTGGTTTATAAATGTGGCCTAACGGGGTTACTTTGGCGATGAGTCGGGTATAATTTTTCTTATAAAGTATCATGCCTTGCGACATAATTCATGCTTACTATGAATCAAAAACGAATAAAAATGGTTATAATTTTGCGACTAGAATTCATGTGTGGTACGTTATAAAAATATAAAAAAAGTTTTTGTAAACCGAACATGGCGTTTTTATATGTTTAAAGGGACTCTCTTTAGTGGTTCGGGTGTTGCTGCCTATAGACTCCGGATCATACGATCTAAAGAGTAGAGCGTCTAGTCCATGAGTGGACTCTAGATCGCGCGCTATTGCGGGATGGTTATGGGAGAGCGCCTCTGAAGAGTTTCAACATAGAGAAATTCTGAGGGTAAAGCCTCTCGAACCGGTTTTATTTCCATGTATCGTATCCCAATTGGTTAATCTCTGAAAACCGAAAAATCATCCGGACAAGTATAGTTGCATGGGATCTAATGGAATAACTATTCCGTAACTTCTTTGTTTGATAAATAAATAAATGTTTTTTTTGTGAAAAAATGACCTATATTAATAGTTAAAAGTAATTAGAACAGTTCGGAGAGTGAGATTACATAATTTGTAAATGATCAAATATATGATATATACATCCACAATGAATTCAAACTATTGTACACTTCTTCCTTTTAAGGATTTGATTGATTAGCAACTTTGTTTTTAAATGTGATTAACTTTACATACGAAAGCAATTGTACAGCTAAGTTATCTAAACAAAAGTATCATTTGTTACCCAGAAAGAAGTTTCATCAACTTTGTGTAAGAAAAAATGTTTTTGTAGAAAAGCCTCAGAATTAGGAAGATGCTTCGGTAAAGTTACAAAAACAGCTTAAGAGATCCAAACGTAAATCCATTGTACTTTTCTTAAAACTACTTTAAAATTTTCCTTTATTTTTTTTTATACAGTCTTATTTACTTTTTTTCTAAAAAACGGAGACAAAGATGAGATGGAGAAAAAGCATTTGATGTTTTTGTATAATTGGAAAGTGTTTACGCACTTGGTCTCTCTCACATTTCAAGGCGCCGCGAAATTGCTTGCTCATGATTTTTAGCTTTATAAGATTCTCTTTCATTTATAGCCACTCTTCGATTTATTTTTCTTTAGATTACTGGATTTTAGATATTATACATTGTCAATGTTAAAAGGAAAATAAGATATTATACATTGGTCATGTCATTTATCAATTATTAGTTTTAAGATTGATTCCAATTTAGTACTAGGAATAGTTTCATTGTTCAAATTTGCACAAAACCAATGGAGTTATTTAGATTTTAGACAATAGATTACACAACCGATATTAACACAGATTTTCTAGCAAAAAAGGTGTTCAAAATGTACTACTGTCAGTGAGAGTGACCATAGATTTCAAAAAGCTTCTCAAGCTCAGAGTTATAGATCTCAAACCCTAAAACATTTTTCCAGTGTTAATGTATGTTAGAGCCTCAAGCCATCGGATTAGATATTCCCATTCAGATTGCGGAAGAGACAACATTGGAGCATTGTTAAGAGACTAAACTCTCAACCAAAAGCTAACAAAGTTGTCAATAGCGCAGCGGCCACATCTTACAAACCCATCACTCACCGATGTGTAGCATTCAGTCCTAACCTAGTTATTGTAGAGACCTATATAGCTAAGGTTTCACTTCATAAACTTAACTTCAAATACACTAAATATCTCATGTTAAGTAAAGTCTTAGTTTCTTTTGCACAAGTAATTCAAATTTAACCAAGGTTGTTTGTTCACATTTCACAATTGTTGTTTCTTCAATGAATGACCAAACCACCAACAAATGTAAACATGGACAAGATAAGAGTTCTAACCAACTACTCAGCTAGTAGCTTTATCATGCCTTCAAAATCTTCTCATATGCGAAAAAAAAAAGTCAATAGACATTGAAACTACTAAAGCAAGAAAACAAACTAAGGAAAGATCTGATTCCCCTCACAGCAACAACATCTGCGAAAGGATGATTGATTCGTTAGATCTCAATCTCACTTCTTCCTGAAAGAGCATCCCTCTTGGAGCCTCGCTTTACCACCGGTGGGCTGGCACAGAACTGTCTGACAGTTTCCACACACTACAACTGTTTGCGAATGGCTGAACACAGTGGTTCTACAAAATAACCAACAAGCAATTCGTTACCAAGTCCAAGTGTACTCTCCTCACATATTCACATCACTACTTATTCACAATTTCTCCCTAATACCAATCTTCTATGGTAGATAAAGCAGCATTCAAGTTGAGCAAATTCGACAATTCACAACTGACTAAAAACCTGGACAATTACTTCCTAGTACCTATCAATAGTTTCAATGAAATTAGCATTCAAAATCGACAATTCAATTCACAGTATCACTACTGATCTAAAACATTAGCTTCTTCCTAATACCAATCCATATCTATAAATTCAATAAAACAACACTCAAATTCAATATCAAACAACAGTTATAAGACTCTATAGAACAATCATTTTACGAACAAAATTAGAAAACTCACATGTTGAAGCATCCCTGACACTTAACATCCTGAAAAAAACACAAAGAAAACAGAGTAAGATTCATTGTTTCGCATCCAATTGTGTTACGAATCAGATTTCAGAGAAGAAAACAAACAGTACCATGAAGAAAGAGTTGGGAGATTGCACGAGACGCTTGAGCTTATGCTTTCTCTTCTCAAGCTCAGCAGGAGGATTGAGGAGATCGATGTCATTTTGGAGCACCTAATCAACAGATCCATAAGAAATATGACAAAAAATCAGAAATTACAGAATCATAAACAAAGGAGAAGAACAAAGAGAGATATTTCACCATGATTGCTTGCGGAAAGGAGACGAAGACGAATTGGTTGATGAAACCCTAGAAGCAACGAGACGGAGACTGCAACTTTTGCTTCAATCTAAGTATATATATATATATATATATATATATATATATATATGTCTATACATACAAAACATTGGGCCTTATAGGCCCAGCCCATTATACATAAATGGAGAAATTTGACTTACCAAATTTTTTTTTTTTTTTTTTTTTGTCGAAACTTACTTACCAATTTGTATTCTCTTATTTTGGAAAACTTAAAACCAAAAAAAAAAAAAAAAAAAGTAATGTGGTGAATCCTAAAGATAAAAGTGGAGGTTTAGCAATTTTTTGGAAAAATAGTCTAAGACTTCGAAATTCTTTTTGTAGATAAGAATCTTATAGTTGTGAAGATTAGGAATGATACAATCTTTTGGTTTGTTACTTTGTTACTTTTATTTAAGGTAATCCTGTGACAAATTTGAAAGATTTGGTTTGGGAAAAATTGGATAGAATTGGTGTTTCAAGAAAAGAAGCTTGGTGTATCACTGGGGAGAAATAACCAATGGATTCAAGAAAGTTTTGATCGATGCTTTGGTAATTCAGCTTGGTTTTCCTTACTCTCAAAAACACATTAGTGATTTTTAGAGAAGCTCGGATATGATCATAAAGCGGTTCTAGTCAAGTTTACAAAGGATAAGGAACCTTTTCATGGTCAGTTTCACTTTGATAAGAGATGCAAACCATTTTGGAGATTATCCGGAGAGATTGGTAGTCAAATATTAATGATCTTTGAATGTCTATTTTTTTTTTGTAAGTAACCGGGAGACAATGTCTCCCAGATTTATTAAATTAGAAAACGTAATAAAACAGGAATTCGTCTTGGTCATGTAGATCCAAAAGTATCATCCCTTACAATCAAATCAAGTTCTAAAGGTACAGACACGAAAGAGTGAAAACCTAAATGTAAGGAAAAAGCATAGTTTGCCAATTCGTCTGCTAGACGATTAGCTTCCCTATACACGTGAACAATTCAGGCTATCCAGTCCTTTGCGATAAAGCTATGGTACAAGTGTACCAGGAAAGACAGCGGATGTGATTCATTGATCACTGTCTGCAAAAATCCAACAACCAACTCCGAATCCACCTCCAACACCACCTCATAAGTTTCTTCTCCCAAGCGATATAGAGACCGTAATAGACGCCCCATAATTCTACCAGTGGTGCGAAACATCTCCTAATATTAACCGCGAAACCTCCACACCAATTACCTTCCCCATCCCGTAAAACTCCTCCTACAGTGGCCAAACCAAGATTACCTCTCGAAGCCACGTCCGTATTAAGCTTCATCCATCCATCCTGTGGAGAAATCCATCCTATCATTTGTCCACTCGGCCCGCCTATGATTCAGTCCTGCCTTAGAAAGATTTGCCGAAGACACTTCTCTTGAAAGGTCTTTGACAAACCGAACTCTGTCCCTACATTTGCCATTCTCGCCGAAAACATTCCCACATCTCCATTTCCAACCCTACCAAGCAGCCAAAGCAAACATAACAGACCATGGAGCACCTTCAACCAACTCGTCATCACACAAGTTACCATACACCCACTCCAACAACGATTTTGTAAAGAACGCATGTCTCTTCCTTACGGGAACAATTCTGGTCCAAATACCTGCCATGGCTTGCATGAGGTTGATGAGTTCAGAGAGATGTAAGAATGTTTTAATAAGTCAATGCGATCTTTAAAATATAATTGCTATTGCTTGGTGTTAATCTTAAATCATTCAACGTTTAAGTTGTTTATAGATGATTATTCATTTATAACAACTGTTGTAGGTCGTCTGCTCGGTCTATTGGTGAGCCAGGGTCTTCCCGATCTAGTGTCTGATAGCAAGTCGCTGTATTACCGAGAAATGTGTGGAAGGGATCTACTGTTGATATCCCGTTTTAATTAAAATATTTGATGCTTCTAATTTTAATTTCTACAGACTCTTTTGTGTTTTTGTATTGGATAATTATTATTATTTTCAACAATATGTTAGTTGCAAGTTATATATCGTTTGTGGCTGTGAATTTGTACCCTTTGTGTGACTATTATCAGAGGATCTTGATTACAAAATTAACCTGAATTCTTGTGATCTTGCACAATAATGCACCAAGATTTCGATCTTTTAATGTATGGTTGGAGGTTAGACAAGAACCAATAGTGAAGGACGATGTAGAAATGTTAAATGTTTGGATGCTGAAAAATTCATCTATTTGTCAGGATAAAAGCATTAAAACCTAAAAAAAATTCTCTCTTTTTGTCCATTGATGGAGAGGTTAAATCAAACCTGTGCAGACTTTGATAGCAATTGACCCCACGGGGTCTTAAATGTACTGTGTTGATATTTCCATCTGGAAAAAGAACTATTTGGTGTTGAGCCTAGAAGATTATAAACAATCCAAAATCAATTTGAGAATCCAATTTCAAAAGCAGAAAGATCGAACAATAATTAAGAGTGACGACGCAACAGGTGGTGGTGGTGGTTCCGCCAAAATCTTGGCTTCTCCGGAGGTTGGAGCTTCACTGTTCTCTATAGAAGCGCCGCCGCCATCTCCCAACTGAAACGAAAACGGAAATTCCCAAAATCGCCCTAAATATTTCAAACTAGAAGCTCCAGATGGCACGGAAAGATGGGGAAGAAGAAGGTCTCCGATCATAAACCTTTTGGGTGATTGGATAAAGGAGATTTATCTTCGGGAGAAGAAGATGGAGGAGTTCTCTTGCCGCTGATTCCGTCGGGGGTGGTTGTATTGTTATTGCCTGAGGTAGATTCACTGCGCGGAGGTGACACCGTGACTATTTCTTGGAGACTCTTCTGTCAATAGTAACTCTTGCGGCGATTCTTTGAGAGTTAGAAGAAAAAATCAATACGAGAGAGATGATGAATTTTGAAACAAGTAAACAAGAAATGTGATTAGAGTATTTGTGTATTTCGGTGGGAAACTTTAAACCTTTTAAATTTGGGTATCGGACTAGAAAATAATGGAAATTGGATGAAAACGGTTATTCCGAAAAAGAAAACATTAGTCAAAATTATTTTTGATAAAAAATGGGATGGAAATTTTGGATAAATTAGACATATCGGATTATTTGAGTATAGTAAGACTTGCGGCAAATCTTTGAGATTTCAAGAAAGATTCAATGCAAGGGAGATGAAGAGACACAAGAAAACAAGAAATGTGATTTCGGTTGTTGAGATATGATGTTTATGTTCTATTTTATATGATGTTTTCAGTTTTCAACGGATTTTAGGTAGTTTAGGTCTTACTCTCAACTCTACATAAAGCTTAACGAATCATAAATAATTTCCATTTTGTTTTCATTGGTCTTCTGATGCTATATATAGTAGTTCTAGTTTCAAATATCTACAGAAGATATTTTTTTGTAGTGAGTTAAAAGCAGGTTTCTAAGAAAAGGATTTTCTAAGATTTTTCATTTCAGTTCACAAATCACAATTGTCTGATGAGACACAAAAAAAAAAAAATGCAAGTAATCTCAAAATGTCTTGAAATTTGAAGATGTTTGTAACCACAATACGAAACTTAGTTCAACAATATCGTTTAGTTACAGTTATCATAGTGCATCAAGTACTAAATTACAGAGTTTTGGCCTTATAGTAAAAAGAAAAGAAAGAAAAAATATATATATAGGAATTTATTTGGGAAATTTGTATTTGTCACCACCCAAAAAAATATAAATAGGAAACTAACCCATACAAAAAAAAAACAATGATATTGAGTGTATAAAGTATAATAATACAATTATGTCCTCACCACCATCACTACTCACCACCACTACTCCAGCCCAGAACCATCACCACCACCGGACCTTCCACCACCAGAACCACCACCGTCAGAATCTCTGCTGTCGGGATCTCCACCGCTGGATCTCCACCACCGGAAACTCGGTCGCCGAAACCACCGCTGCCGGAACCACAACGCCATGAACTCCGCTGCCGGAATCTCTACCGGAACCACCATCACCGGAATCACCACCACCACCATTGGTCATTTTCCATACCCTTGATGTTATTTACTTAAACTGATACATATAATGTGCTATATTCTTAAAATATTAGTAGATGTAGTTCCTGAACTCTTTTAAGGGATTATTGGCTGGAATACCCTTTTTAGGCCAAAAGCTTGAGCCATACCCTTTTCCTTTTGGGCTTTTGTTTTTGTCCTTTTTTTGAACTTGAGAAGACAATATTACCCCTGGCGTAAGGAGCGGGAGGTGAGGGATTTCGAAAATTTTTTTTCGTTGAACAGCGCGTGCTCTGTTCATGGAGGTGACCGCCGGCACAGTAGATCTGCGATTCGTGTGGCTGAGATTTGGTAGGGTTTTGTTTTATGGTGGATGTCATTTAAAGCCTCTTAAGTCTTAAGTATGAGGATATTATAAAGCGACTGCCCTCTTGTGGACATTGTGAACAAAGTTCTGCTGCTGCAAGTTCGATCTCAGATCTAGGTTTGGCGTGTTTAGGAATAAGATCGCTAAAAGAGTTATGGATCCGCAGGTAATCGTGTTCTTTATTTTCATGTAGTTTAATAGTTTGCTTTTAGGGATGCGTAGGAGTAGGTATTGAACATGGTTTCTTATGATATATATAATTTTTTGCAAGGAGCGGATGTTCCTGTATTTGTGATTGCTGGAAGTTGGGAATGTTCTGATAAGGGTATCTGGGATTTCTATATTGCAAAAGATTGTTTTGCGCGCAGTATTAGGATGAATCTATCTATGACGTACGAGGAGCTGATTTGCAGTGTGCGTAAAGAGTTTGAATTGGATGGCCTGAGCTTCAAACCAAAATTAAGTTACTGGCTTCCATGCCAACTTTCTGTATTTGCAGTGAACGCAAGACCTCCTGTCGTCATTGCTAGTAATATTGGGGTGAGAAACTTCTTGGCTGTAAAGGAAACTGCAGTTCATCTTAATCTATTACTGTCTCTTGAACCTGAAGATAGTGATGATGTTGGCGTCATGTTGAGGAAACAATGTTCAGTAGCTGCTGAAAAGGCTAAAGGTCTAGCTGACACTGCAGAGGCTTTC